GTGTCAGCAGTAGCAAAAATCAAGTCGTCAATGTACACAAGAACGTAGAACGGCGGCAGAGAAGTGTCTGTGCGCAGAAACAGCGAAGGGTCAGCAGTCGAGGGAGCGAAGCCAAGAGCCGCAAGTGTAGTCCTCAGTGTGTCGTGCCACTCGCGAGGCACCTGTCGTAGGCCGTAGACTGGTCGCCAAAGGCTCCAATGGGTACCCTGAGGAAACGACCCAGTGAAGCCACGTGGGCGGCACAACCAGATAGCCTCATGAAGGCTGCCTTGCAGGAAGGCTGTCGAGAAGTCGAGGGAGTGCAGCTCGTAGTCGCGCTGTGCTGTAACGTGAAGTAGCACCCGAAGAGTGGTTATCTTCGGGGTGGGGGAGAAGGTCTGGAAGAAATCGACCCCCACACGCTGATGACAAACTTAGCAGACAGAAACAAGAATGAAGAAAGGAGGGGTTGCACTAGCAGCAGTTGGCATACATATAGGAAACCCTAATTGGGTTGTACTCGCTATAGAGTACCCCACTGCAGGCTAGACAATTATAACATTCTGATACACCCCCATAGCCAAAGTGGGGTGTAATCAGCACAATGAGCAAGCATGGCAGTAGTTCACAATTATGAGCAAAGCTAGTGGTAGTCACAGCAGGCAAGTGAGGAGGAGGGACTGTGAGAGGAGAGAAGATGGGAGACGACGGCTGAATCTGCAGACACACGGGCAACAGGAGCGGCTGGCTCAGTGGCTACTGGGACAGCGCCCCGGACTACTAGAGTAACTGGCTCACGGGCTACAAGGAGCTACAGGAGCAACGGACCCACGGGCGACAGGCGCAGCAGGCTCTCAGGGCTACCAGGACAGCGCCCCGGACTACAGGTGCTGCGGACGACAAGACGACAGCCTCCGCTCAGCCTCCCCAAACAGTCCCACCCCCCCTGACACACACCCCCTGCTTCACCCCTAGCTCCACTCCCCCTTCACCCCCTTAGCACCACTCCTTCGGCTCCCCACAGACACACCCCCCTGAGCGGCAGCTGCAGCAGTGGGAGACGGAGGAGGAGGAGGAGTAGGGGACGGCGCACACAACGGGCACCCCCACAACCGCCACCCCCACACTCCTCACCCCCAAACCCTAAAACGGGTTGCAAGGGGTAGGAGCGCGGGGGACGGCGGGGGGGAAGGCGCGCGGCCCCCAGGGCGCCACCAAGGGGCAGCAGGGGGGGCGCGCGCGGCTCCCTAGGGCGGCGCGACGGGGCAGCGGGGGGTCGCGCATGGCTCCCCAGGGCGGCGCGACGGGGAATCGGGGCCGCGCGCGGCTCCCCAGAGTGCCGCGACGAGACGACGCGAACGGGGGGGGGGAACGCGCGGCCCCCGTGGCGCCACGACGGGCGACAAGAGGGGGGGGGGGGGGGGGGGGACGCCCGGCCCCCGAGGCGCCTCGACGGGCGACGGGATGGGGGGGGACGCGCGCCCCCCGCGACGCCACGACGGGCGACGGGAGAGACGGGGGGGGGCGTGCGCGGATCCACGGTGTAGAAAACCGTCGCACGCCTCGGGGCGCACAGCGGGCAGAAAACCGCCGCGCGCCCCGAGTGCACGGCGGGATGAAAAACGCCAGAAAAAATTCGGGTTGGGAGAAAGGGTAGCGCGCCCGAGGTGCACGACAGCAGTAGAGCAGCGGAAGCATTAGGTGGTGGGCCCACCCACAGGATCGACCCAATGGGGTCGACCTGCTCTAATAGCATGACAAACTTAGCAGACAGAAACAAGAATGAAGAAAGGAGGGGTTGCACTAGCAGCAGTTGGCATACATATAGGAAACCCTAATTGGGTTGTACTCGCTATAGAGTACCCCACTGCAGGCTAGACAATTATAACATTCTGACAGCTGACTGAAGCCTCGTGCAACGTAACGTGCCTTGAAGGCAGGCGGAGAACCGACGGCGGCTTCACCCTGAAATTCCACATGCCATCGATTATGTTCGCCCCAGGTGGGGGAACCTCGTCGACGTAGGTGTCTGTGGACTTTTAGGAAGCCATCTCTGCGTCCATGGCTATCTGCCACTGAGAGGAGTATGGACCCGTGATCGCCTTGCGTAAGTGCGCGGGGTCGGGATGTCCAGTGCATCCGGGTCTCCCTAAGGGCAAAGTAGCGTGGACGCGAGATGAGGTGCAGCGGCCACTAGGCACTCCAAATCAAACTGCTTATCCTCAAGAACGTAACAGCCAAAGGCAAGCTCACCCCCGATGGACGGAGACAGGAAGAGTAAAAAACCAAGACTTGCAGCGTAGTCAAGGCGACACGAGTGACGAGGGAAAAACGACGGGCTGGAGACGAGGGAAACGCGGCCAGCTCACTGCCGCGCCCGTCGCAACGAGCGTCGTGCCGTGATTGGGTGGGCCCATTCACTTAGGTCAGGATCTTACAAGCTCAATACCATGTCAACAAACGAACGTTAGCTAGCAGACGGATTTAAGGGCCTAGGCTTTGTAGCCTAGGCCAAGCGGGTGTCGAGGAGTTTGTTCAAGGAGGTATGCTGAGAAAGAGTGGTTTCACTATTGAATGTGAAGAACATATAGTGAACAAAAGGTGCACCACCAACAGAAATGCGCTATAACTACACTACAGCTTCAGCTATAGGCAGTTGTACACATATATATAAAATATACAATCTGACACTGCCCGCGCTGCAGCTGCTCCTAAGCTGCGGTTGCTTCCCGCGCCGAGCCGCCCTGCCTTGCCCGAGCTACGCCGCCCTGCCGAGCCGCCCAGCTGAGCCGCCCTACCGAGCTGCCCAGCCGAGCTGCCTTTGCTGCTGCACCTATTACTACTGCTGCTACTACTGCTGCTGTTACTGCCTACTATGGCTACAATTTCGGTCCTTACTTTTGATGCGAAGGGTTGCCCTATTTAGTTTGTTTGCTGGCTCGAGGATCTCCAGCTGTACCTGCAAAGAATTGCTAGGGACGACGTCTCATTGTTAGATGATACTACCGTTCCCTTCCCGCTCCTGATGAGTCAGCTGACCGTGTGGTTCGTTCGTCAGGCTCACGCGCGATGCTGTTGCTTGCCTTGCTGTCTGAAAGGGCCCATTTTGGCCAGCTTATGACGCAGTAGTCGCTCGCTACTCCTCCCCCTCTACTGCTGCCCTACGCCGTCTCATGCTGCAATATCTTTTTCATGATCTGTCGGACTTTCACACCATTGCAGATCTCATGAACTGCCTTCACTCAAGTGACACTCGCTATCGTGCCGCACTCAAGCCGGCTTTTGTAACTGCGAACCCGCCCCCAATGTACATCACTCTTTACTTCCTCGTCACTCGCCTCCCTAACTCCCTCCGCGCCATTCGGGATCACTTCCTCGCCCTTGACCCCACCGAGCTCATGCTTGCCTCGCTAGAGAAGTATCTTAGCAAGGCTGAGACTAGTGCCGTTGTTGTAGCTGCCTCTCGTGGCACTCCCTAATCCCCCTTCTTCGAGGGGTGTTCTCCTAGTCAAACTTATATGATCTAGCCTGTGTAGGCTGTAGCGGGTTAGACACTAAGGGGTACACAATTCTAGGGTTTCATATTTGTATCACTTTCATTAATTAGTCATTCATTCTCGTCCTAATCTCCACATAGTATATAGCAGGCTCCCTAGTGGGAACTTCTCCTAGGGCCCACGGAATATTGACTTTTTTTTCCTGCCCGGAGCGCGCTTAGCCCCTGCCCGAGTCGCGCCCCGTGTGGATCCCCTTCGTGGCCTATAGCGGCCCCTCTCACGGCCCCTAGTGGCCCCGTCGCGCCGTCCTCACGGCCCCGTCGCGCCGCCCTCGCGGCCCCGTCGCACCGCCCTCGCGGCCCCTCGCGGCCCCTTCCCGGCCCCTTAGCGGCCCCTCCCGGCCCCGTCGCCGCCTCCCCCCCTTTTCAACGGCCCCGTTGCCGCCCTCTCAGCGGCCCTGTCGCCGCCCTTTCAGCGGCCCCATCGCCGCCCTCTCAGCGGCTCTGTTGCCGCCCTTTCAGTGGCCCCGTCGCCGCCCTTTCAGCGGCCCCGTCGCTGCCTCTTAGCGGCCTCGTCGCCGCCCTTCAGCGGCCCCGACGCCGCCCTTTCAGCAGCCCCGTCACCGCCCTTCAGCGGCCCCGTCGCCACCCTTCGGCGGCCCCGTCGCCGCCCTTCAGCGGCCTCGTCGCCGCCCCTTTCCGTGGCCCCGTCGCCGCCCTTTCAGCGGCCCCGTCGTCGCCCTTCAGCGGCCCCGTCACCGCCCTTCAGCGGCCCCATTGCCGCCCCTTTCCACGACCCCGTCGCCACCCCTTCGCGGCAGCGACGCCGCCCTTCACGGCCCCGCCGAGCCGCCTTCGCTGCCGAGCCGCCGAGCCGCCGACCTGCCGAGCCGCCTTTGCCGCCGAACCGCTGAGCCATCGAGCCGCACTGCAGCTGAGACGCTGCCGCCTGCCGGCCTGCCCCGGACCGCCTCAATTGCCCGGTAAGAGCAGGGCCTCTGCCACTGCACTGCCCTACCCCACTGTACTCACTGTCTGTCTACTGCTGTCATGGCCACCCCTAGTGTTCTCTCCTTTGACGCTGAGGGTCGGGCTGTTGACTTTGAGGTCTGGGTAGATGATCTGCAGCTTTTCCTACAGTGCGATAGGGCAGACGGTCTCTCCTTGTTTGACCTCACTTCTGGTGCCTCTCCTGCCCATGCTGCTGATGCTGACGCCACTATTCGCTCATAGTGGGCCACACGCAATGTTGCTGCCCGCCTTGCTGTGCGCCGCCACTTACTGACCGCTGAGCGCGCGCATTTGAGCTAGTACAAGAGTGCTAAGATCTTGTACGACGATGTAGTTGCACGCTACTCTTCCCCTGCCACTGCTGCTCTTAGCCGCCTCATCCTGCCGTACCTCTTCCCTGACCTCGCCGCTTTTCCCACAGTCGCTGACCTCGTTACGCACCTTTGCACTAGTGACATTCGCTACCGTGCAACGCTTCCTGCTGAGTTGTGCGCCAAGAACCCCCCCCCCCTCTATGTACATCACCCTCTACTACATAGTCACCCGGCTCCCTGACACCCTTCGCTCAGTCAGGGACCACTTCCTCTTTGTTTGCCCCACCACACTTACCGTTGACCTCCTCGAGGAGCGCCTCCTAGCAGCTGAGAAGAGTATAGTCGCTGTAGGAGCCTCTTGTGGTGACCCTCGTACCCCTGTATTTGAGGGGTGCTCCCCCTCCCCCCTCTTGCCCTCTGTTGCTTCTACTGCTGCGGCCGACCTTGTTGGTCTTGAGTCGGTCGGCGCGGCGTCTGCCCCTAGCGGGAGACGCCGCCCAGGCAAGGGCAAGGGGGGCAAGGGCGCTGGAGGATCTGGCGGGGGCGGTGGAGGCAGCGGAGGGGGTGGGGGTGGCGGTGGGAGTGGTGGCGGGGGTGGGGGCGCTAGTGGCGGCAGTGGAGGCGGAGGAGGCGGTGGTGGTGGCGGTGCGGGCGGAGGTGGCGGAGGTGAGGGCGGTGGTGGAGGTAGCAGCGGCGGAGGTGGAGCTGGTCGGGGCGGCTCTACATAGAGGGTCGGCTCCGGTGGTGGTCAGCGCCAGTAGCAGCAGCAGCAGCAGCGCACTCGTGAGACCCCTTCCCCCCAGCAGCTTCGTTAGTGGTACGCTGCTCGTCAGCGGGGTGGGGGTGCTGGCCCCTGCAACTACGTTATACGCACCGGCGACCGCGCGGGTGAGCAGTGTGGGGTGAGGTCACTGAGGTGTTGATCGCTTGGATCCGCGCAGCTCGTTTCGAGCTCAGAGAGAGTTTCGGCTCGGACTTTCCTGTTCTACGTCTGCACTCTGACAGAGGCGGAGAGTTCTCCTCTGACCTTCTGCGAGCCTTCTGTCGTGCACGAGGCATCCGCCAAACCTTCACGCTTCCGGACTCTCCGCATCAAAATGGGATTTATGAGTGTTGCATTGGCATGGTCATGGACGTCGCTCGTACATCCATGGTCCATGCGACTGCCCCCCATTTTCTGTGGCTGTTTGCGGTTCGGTACGCGGCGCATCAAATCAACCTCCAGCCCCGGGTCTCCATGCCGGAGACCTCCCCTGCCTTGCTGTGGACGGGCATCCGTGTCTGGGGATCCCGGGCGTTTGTCCGCGACTTGTCTGCGGACAAGCTGTCCCCTCGTGCTGTTCCCTCTGTCTTCCTTGGCTTCCCCCCTGACGCGCCGGGCTGGTACTTCTACCACCCCACCTCGCGACGTGTTCTGTCCTCCCAGGACGTCACGTTTGACGAGTCGGTTCCCTACTACTGTCTCTTCCCCTACCGCACTGCGTCCCCCCTCCCCCCCCCCCCCCCCCCCCCCCGCCACTCTTCCTTACGCCAGGTCCCCCTCCGGTAGACCCCCTCCCCCCTCAGGGTCCTGCCCCCTCAGGTGTGTCTCAGGTAGACGCAGTCGACCCTGTCAAGGTAGCTGTTGACTCTGGTGTTGCTAGGGGTGCTGAGCCTGGGGGTGCTAACTCTGGGGGTGCTGAGCCTGGGGGTGGTGACTCTGGGGGTGCTGAGCCTGGGGGTGCTGACTCTGTGGGTGTTGCGCCTGGGGGTGCTGAGCCTGGAGGTGCTACGCGTGGGGGTTCTGAGCCTGGGGGTGCTGCGTCTAGGGGTGCGGAGTCCGAGGGTACTGGACCTGCTCGTGTGGCGTTTGGCGGTGTTGGGCCTGGAGGTTCTCCGGGTGCTTCGTCTCGGCGGGAGCTACTCTCTCCACAGGAGCTGCGTTAGTGGTTTGCTCGGCGATGGAGGCGTGCTGCTGGAGCTAGAGGTACTGCGGGCGCTGGAGGTTCTACTGCTGCTGAGGGTGCTGGTGCCGCGGGTCTCGGAGGTGCTCGTACTGGGAGTACTGGAGCTGCTGGGCCTGCGGGTGCGTCTAGTGCTGGAGCTGGTGGACCTACTGCGTCTTCTGGTGGTCCGGCTGGAGCTGGAGCTGCTCGGGGTGTTGGCGCTGAGGGTGCTTCTGGTGCTAGTGCCCCTGAGGGTGCTGGCGTTGGCGCTGCTGGAGCTGGGCGTGCTGCTGGCGCTGGTGCTGTCCCTTCTGGTGCTGGTGCTTCTGAGGGTGCTGGCGTTGGTGCTGGTGGCGCTGGTGCTGGCGTTCGTGGTGCTGGCGCTGTTCGTGCTGGTTCTGGGGGTGCTGCACGGCCGCGAGCGTACTTCGTTCCGCTCCTTGAGCAGGTTCTTGGTCTTCCGCCCTCCACTAGTCCAGCTCCTCCCTTAGAGTGTCCACCGCCTGCCCGGTCTGAGTCACAGTTACAGCCTACCTCTCCTCTGCCTGCTCCTTCTCCCTACACTGGTCCTACTGGAGGTCTTGTTGACCGTCGTGAGCCTGCGTCTCGTCCTGCGTTGCCTGTTTGTGCTGCTCGCACTGGTGGTTGTGGTTCGCGTCAGCGTCCCCCCGTCCCCGGCACGCACCGGATGTCTATGCGTCCGTCCACTGCTCCTCTGCGTGCCCCTTTGCCTTCTCCGCCTGAGTCCTCTCTTCCTGCTCTTGCTGATCCGTAGTCAGACTCCCTTCGTGCTGCCAGTCCTACTGTCACGCGTCTCCTTGCTACTGTCTTCACTGACCCTTCCTTTGAGTCCACTGCGGCGTCTGCCCTAGTTGCTGAGCTTGTCGACTTCGCTGCTCGCTGTCGTCAGTGTAGACTGTAGTCTTGGCTCCCTCTAGGTAACACCTCCACGCCTTGAAGGCCGTGACTATCAATAAGGCTTCCTTGTCATGAATGGGGTAATTTAGTGATGCTCCGTATAGCTTCTTACTGAGGTAGGCGATGGGCTGAAAACCGCGTCGATGATCTTGCATCAGTACTACTGCGACTGCTTGGTCACTAGCGCCTGCTTCCACCACGTATTTCGTGTCTGGGTCCGGTAGGATGAATACTGGCGCTGTAGTCCGTGCTGTCTGTAGCTGCTCCATGGCTTGCTATTGATGAGTACCCCATTTGTAGAGCATATCCTTTTTTAGTAAGTTTGTCATTGGTGCTGCTATCTTAGTGAACTATGTCACGAACCTGTTGTAGTAGTTGGCGAAGCCTAGGAACTGCTGTAACTCTTTCAAGTTCTCAGGAACCTTCCATAGTTTGATGGCTTTGATTTTCCGCGGGTCCACGTATATTCCCTCTGCACTCACCATGTGCTATAGAAACTGCACCTTATTCAGGGCGAATTCGCTCTTTGACAGCTTCACGTAGAACTTGTTTTTCCGCAGGATCTCAAAGACTTTCAGTATTTGCTTCATGCGCTCCTTCATGTTCTTGGAGTAGATGAGGATATTATTCGAGTACACTACCACGCACTTGTCTAGTAGGGGCCGTAGGATATGATTCATCTCCGCCTGAAATGTCGCTGGTGCATTGCATGGTCCGAATGGCATCACTAGGTATTCGTGGGAGTTGTATCTGGTATGGAACACCGTCTTGTGGATCAAGTTGTCTGCCATCTTGATATGCCAGTAACTCGACCGTAGGTCCAGCTTCGAAAACACTGGTGCACCATGCAGTTGGTCTAGAAGCTCATCTATGCGCGGTATGGGGTATTTGTTTTTTACTGTCTGTTTGTTCAGTGCCCAGTAGTTGATGCACATCTGTAAACAACCGTAAGATTTGGAGTGACGTGAACTGTTGCACCATAGGGAGAGGTGGACAGGCGGATTTGCTTCTTCATGTCTATTATTTCAGTCGGACTAAGGTGGTATGGTGCACGGGAGATGGGTTTTGTATGTGGTTCCTCCACAATCTCATGCTCGTGGGTTTGCACTGGAGGCACTCTTGCAGGCAGGTCATTCGACATGATGTCCTTGTACTCTGCTATGACTTCCTGTATTACAACAGGTAGCTCCAAGTTCGGCTTCTCCTCCTCTGTTGCTGCCATAACCAGTGCTAAGTATTCGTGTTACTCCGTCAATTGTCCGTTTGAACTGCGCAGGTGTCGTTTCAGGTATATCTCCTCTATCTGTCTAGCTTCGAAGCTCCACACTTTCCATTTTTGTAGATGCATTCCTTCCGGTTGACCCTGTCTATCTCGGGGTTGAATGTCAGAACTATGCACTTATATGCTCTAGGCTGTAGTGGAGCACTCCTTATGGGGTACAACCCAAATTAGGTTTTGCATATACAAACCCTGTACTGCTGTCTTTCTAGTCATTCTTGATTCCTACTTTCTGACATGGTTTCATAGCAGGTTCCCTAGTGGGATCCTTTTTGTTTAGGGCCCACCGCGATAATTTTTTTTTCCTGCTCTACCCGAAGCACACCTCGCGCCTGCCTCACCTGCGCCGTCGCGCGCCCTGCCCTACTGCTGCCCGTAGCAGCCCTGCCCTCCCGGCCCCTCGCGCCCCTGCCCTATCGGCCCGTCGCGGCCCTGACCTAGCCGCTCGTCGCGGCCCTGCCGTGTTGCCGCCCATCGCGGCCCTGCCCTTTTGCCGCCCGTCGCGGCCTGACCCAGCCGCCCGTCGCGGCTTGACCCAGCCGCCCGTCATGGCCCTGCCCTCAGCCACTCGTCGCGGCCCTGATCTACCGCCGCCTCGTCGCGGCCCTGCCCTGCTGCTGCCCCGTTGCGGCCCTGCTCTGCCGCCTCGTTGCAGCCCTGCCCTCACCGCCAGTCGCGGCCCTGCACTGCACCCGCCCCTGGAAAGTGCCCGCCCTGCCAAGCGCGCCGCTGCGCCCGCCTGTCTGCCGTGCCGCGCCGCCCAGCCAAGCCGCGCTGCCCTGCCGAGCCGTGCCCCCCTGCCGGGCCGTGTCGCTCTGCCGAGTCGCGCCGCCCTGCCCTACTGTTAATGTTGCTGCCACTGCCGCCATGGCCAGCCCTACCGTTCTTACCTTCGATGCTGAGGGTCGTGTGGTCGATTTCGAAGTTTGGGTAGATGACCTGCAGCTCTATCTTCAGTGCAACTCTAGGGACGCATCTTGCTTTTCGATCATACGTCCGACGCCTCTGTTGCACCTGCTGCCGATGCTGACAGTACGGTTCGCTCGCAGTGGACTACTCGTGACGCTGTTGCTAGCCTTGCTGTTCGTAGTCACCTGCCGTCTGCTGAGCGCGCGCACTTTGGCCAGTATAATACTGCTAAGTCTTTGCATGACGCTGTCGTCACACGCAACTCCTCCCCTACCACTAATGCCCTCAGCCGCCTCATGCTGCCGTACTTGTTCCCTGACCTGGTCGCCTTTGCCACAGTCGCTGACCTCATCACTCACCTCCGCACTAGTCACACCTGCTATAGAGCTGCGCTTCCCTCCGAGTTTCATGCCAAGAACCACCCCCCCCATGTGCATCACCCTCTTCTACCTTGTCACCCGTCTCCCTGAATCTCTTCGCTCAGTCAAGGACCACTTTCTCACCCTTTGCCCCATCGGGCTCACTGTCGACCGGCTCGAGGATTGCCTCACTGCAGTTGAGACTAGCATAGTCGATGTAGGAGCTTCTCGCGGTGACCCTTGTGCCCCTTTCTTTAAGGGGTGTTCCCTCGTTCCCCTTTTTCCCTCTGTCGCTTCTACTGCTGATGCCGACCGCATTGGCACCGAGGAGGTTGAGG